CAGAGATTGAGCCATGCACTGGAAGCATACACAGTGGTTGGCAAAGCTGTCCTGGTCCCTACCCTCATGGAGGTCACAGACTAATGGGGTAGATAAAGCCTAGATTGTGGTGGGGCTGGTGGGCGGGAAGTTGGCAGACCTGTTTTACTCTCCCACTAAGCTACAAACTTGGACTTACCATGGAATCTCCATTGCTTTATTTTCCTCATTTGATTCAGTACTCAGGCAGGGAAAACACAGCTGTCATAGACTGTACCCCCTCTACCCTCAAGCCCAGAATGCTATAGGAGGTAGTGCCTGGGCCAGTAGCCTGGTATTGAATAAGTGAAGGGGACCTGAGGTTAGGCAGGAATTCGTGAGGTGAAGATATTGGAGAAGCAAGTTCCCAGAAAAGAGATAGCATTTGCAAAGGCCCTGAGGCAGGCAGGTTTAAGAACCTCTTTTAGTGTAATTAGAGGGGTTGATGCAACAGGTGAAATGGCTCAGAGGACTGGAAAGGCGAAGGGTCCTAGAGCCAAGTTAAAAACTATCTTGAGGGCACTGAGAAGCCATGGAAACTTTTTAATGACATTTCCCTGCATCTTCTTTCTCAATCCATTACTTACCTGGATAGATCCTCTTATCTATAGGTACAGAGATGCTGTGCAGATAAGTGTAGTATTCTTTCAGACTGAAATACGTGGGTAGCTTGGAAACCATGCATGGGAGCATCAGGTAGAAAAAGTATGAGCCTGAGAGTCAGATCGCTATCTGTATGATGTCAAACACATTCTTTTTTTTTTAATTGAAGTACAGTCAATTATAATGTGTCGATATCTGCTGTACAGCACAATGTCCCAGTCATGCATATACATACATAGATTCGCTTTCATATTTCTTTCATTAAGGTTATTATAGCATATTGAACATAATTCCCTGTGCTATACAGAAGAAACCTTTTTTAAAATCTATTTTTATATATAGTGGCTAGCATTTGTAACTCTCAGATTCCCAAATTTATCCCTTCCCACCCCCTTCCCCTGGTAACCATAAAATTGTTTACTATGTCTGTGAATCTGTTTCTGTTTTGTAGATGAGTTCATAGTGTCCTTTTTTTAAATTTAGATTCCACATATGAATGAAATCATATGATATTTTTCTTTCTCTTTCTGGCTTACTTCACTTATAATGATGATCTCTAGGTCCATCCATGTTGCTGCAAATGGCATTATTTTATTCTTTTATTGCTGAGTAGTATTCCATTGTAGAAATATACCACAACTTCTTTATCCGGTCATCTGTTGATGGACATTTAAGTTGCTTCCATGTCTTGGCTATTGTATACAGTGCTGCTATGAACATTAAGGTGCATGTATTTGAACACATTCTTAACCTCTCCAAGCCACTTTCTTTTTCTGTGTGGTTGGTAATGTAACATTTAAATCCCTCATCAGGTTGTTGTAGGATCAGAAATAATAAGTACAGTGCCTATACCTGGCATTCCACAGATGGTATATGTCACCATTTTAGCTATGTGCTTTCTTGCTAACACAATTTTCAAACTCTTCTTTGGGAAAGGAATCAGAAAATCATATATTGTCAAATTGTGAAGAAGCCTTAAAGAGCTGTCTGTATATGATGCTTGCATTCCTTCTGCAACACTGATGATCAATGTTGGTTTGTTGTCCAGCGTTACTTATAACATCCAGAGACAGAAAGCTCACTACTGTTGAAGCAGTCACTCCATGTTTGGCTCTATTAGAAAGTTCTTTTCCTGGACTGAATTCAAATCTGTTTCCCTATGACCTCTATCCAGAGGTCTCTGCAGTGCCCCTAATGCCTCTTCCATGTGACTGCCCTCCAGGTGTTTGAGGTCATTATCTCTACCACCATTCACTAGAGTTGAAAAACTTGTTTTCTTCAGCCTAACAACAACAATAAAAGGGTCAATGCATCAAGAGAACACAACAATTATAAAACACACACACACACACATATATATATACACACACATGCACACACACACACCCCCCTAACAATAGAGCTTAAAAACACGAAGCAGTTTTCATAGTAATAATATTAATAATAATAGTAGCTATCATTTACTGAGCACCCACACTATACTTGGTGCTATAGATACACAGGTAAGTCTCAGTCAGTTCTGTCAATTGAAGAAAGTTAGAAAAGTAAATAAGTGTAACACAACATTATAGATACCATGACAGAGGTTTGTGCAGGAAAAGTTAGGGGGAAGTAGTGGGGGCACCAAGGGAACTATCATCTTTATGAAAGAGGGGCCTGCCTCTTATAAGAGATGATACAAACTATACCCTCAACTGGACTTACCCATTTGTGGTATTCATTAAAGTATCATTTTAGAGATTTTAGTCACACAATATTCAAAACAGTCACTTTTCAGTAACTGCAAATGCATTTCTGCAAGAAATGTTAATTTCCCCTGTGAACGTTCTTTACAAAGACTCTTTTAGAGTCAGAATAATGGAAGCCAGGCAAGAAAGAAGAGTGGAATGCTGTGATTTGCTGTACCTGCAAGTGGATGGCAAATATTTGGAAAGGAGGAGCCTTAAATAGTCTTTCCTAAGCACTGAAATAGAAGAGATGAGGCATACTGTGTTTGCTGGGGCCATATGATATAGGCAGGTTGCAGAAGATGGGGAACAGTAAGGCATTTACCCCACTGACTCACTGCAAGTTGAATGAAAGCAGCATGGTAGTCACACTCCAATGCTTGTTTCTTTGTGTGGGACCCTGTACTGGATGCCAGGGTAAAGATGACCCATCTAAGGAGGCTGAAGCATGGGTACAAGGCCAGAAATTGCTGGGAGACCTTAGAAAAGGATTTTTTATGTGCCCTTTATAGATCCTTGGATAGATGAAGTTAGCCTTCCTAAAGGAGGCAGCATGTCCAAGAAAAAATACAACAGTGAAGACCTCCCAACCTCTAACATGGGAATTTCTTTCAAGAGCCATAGAGAGCAAAAGGCAGTGAACCTTGAGCTGCCTTCTTAGAGAAGAAACACATGAGGAAGGCAGAAACACGAGCATAAAATACCAGTGAAGACTAAAACTGTAACATTTTTCAAGTTAGTTAAAGAAGCATCCCCTCCAAGAAACAGTTATGAAACCACGGATCTTGACACATTCCCCCAAACAAGAAACAAATAATGAGAAAGTGTAGAAAAGTTAGTTTCATGATGTGCAAGCCTTCCACCTTTAAAAGTAATCAAGGAGAATTAACAAGTGCTGTTAGAAGCAAAAAGTACTCACTGAGACAAGTGAGGGAACAGGGGGGTTGAGTAGAAGTTCAGAGACACCAGTCCTATCTTCACTGCCCGGTTAAGGGGACTGGAGTCCAGAGAGGGTCTCTGACTCCTGAGATACGAACAGGACTCCTTTCTTTCAGCAGGGCACAGCACTGCAGCCCATGACGGGTTTAGCACACACCTCCTTCAGCTCTTTCTGAACTGACTTGACTGAACAAAGGAACTTACTCCAGAAAACTCTTCATTTCACTGCAACAGTTCATTAAGCGACTGTCTCTGCTGGGGCACTGGCACAAAGTAATCTGGTCTCTCCCTGCCGCTCATTTGCTGAGCTACCTTTTTTTTTGAAAAAGTAGTTTCTTTTAGTTCTTCTCCTTCTTCTTCTCCTTCTCCTTCCTCCTCCTCCTCTTCCTCTTCCTCCTCCTCCTCCTCCCCTCACATTATCTACATACCATAAAGTTCATCCTTTTATTTTTTTAAATTGAAGTATAGTTGATTTACAGTGTTGTGTTTCTGGTGTACAGCATAGTGATTCAGTTATATATAAATATAGAATATATACTTTTTCATATTCATTTTGTTATAGGTTATTACAAGCTATTAAATATAGTTCCCTGTGCTATACGGTAGGACCTTGTTTATCTATTTTGTATATAGTAGTTTGTACCTGCTAATCCCCAAATCCCAATTTATCCCTCCCCTCTTTCCCACTTTGGTAACCATTATACGTTTGTTTCCTTTTCTAAATTTTTAAAGTTTTAAATGTAGTTGACTTACAATGTTAGATTTGGGTGTACAGCAAAGTGATCCAGTTATACAAATACAAATATATATATTTTCTTTTCAGATTCTTTTCCATTGTATGTTATTACAAGAAATTGAATATAGTTCCCTTTGCTTTACAGTAGGTCCTTGTTTTTTTGTTTTGTACATAGTAATGTGTGGCTGTTAATCCCCAACCCCTAATTTACCCTCCCCGGTCATAAGTTTGTTTTCTATGTCTGAGAGTCTCTTTATGTTTTGTAAATAAGTTCATTTATGTTATTTTTTCGATTCCATATATAAGTGATACCATATTTGTCTTTGTCTAACTTACTTCACTTAGTTTGATAATCTCTAGATCCATTCGTGTTGCTGCAAATGGTATTATTTCATTCTTTTTTATGGCTGAATAATATTCCATCACAGACAGACTATATTTTGTTTATCCATTCATCAGTTGATGGACTTTGGGTTGTTTCTACCTTTTGCCTATTGTGAATACCAGTACTGTGAACATTCATGTACAAGTTTTTATGTGGACCATATGCTTTGTGTGTGTGCACCTAGGAGTGTACCTGCTGGGTCATATGGTAACCTTTTGAGGAATTGCCAGACTATTTTTCAAAGGGCTACACTGTTTTACCTTCCTATCAACATTGTATGAGGGATCCAATTTTGCCATATCTACACTGATACACATCTTTTTTATTATAGCCATTCTAGTAGTGTAAAATAATACCTTATTGTGGGACTGATTTTCATTTCCCTAATGACAAATGATGTTGAGTATCTTTTCTGTGTTTGTTGACCTTTGTATATCTTCTTTAGAAAAATGTCTATTCAAATTCTTTTCCCATTTTTTAATTGGGTTGTCTTTTTATTGTTGAGTTATAAGTCTTTTATATATTCTGAGTACTAGATCCTTAACAGATATATATTTGCAAATACTCTCTCTCATTCTGTGGGTTTAAATTTTGTATCCTTTGAAACAGTGCTGAGCTACTTTAACAAATATTAAAACATCTTAAACTAAATTAGGAATATGTAACTGATGTCTGAATTATACTTTTACATTTAATAAGCATTATAATTTTGTGGGCAAACAACAGTATGCAGACAATGTTTTGGAGCTTCCAAACCAAGAGTCTCGGGTTCATTATGGGATCCATCATGGCAGTTAACTGCTTTTACAGTGTTTAGGTGCCAGGCGCTGTTTGGACACTTTACACATACTAACTTATCTAATTCTCTCCACAGTCCTATGAGGTAGAGACTTCTTATCATACTCGTTGAACAGATAAGAAAACTGGCAGAAGGAGGTTAAGTAATTTGCCTGAAGCCAAAGAGTGAGTAAGTAACAGAGATGGATTCCAGATTCAGTTGCTCTTAACCACCTGCAACTGCCAAGATGGAATAAAACCATTTCAAAGAATGCGTAACCCCTTGCTTTTGGGAAATAATAGTGTTTTCACAGCGTCTATACTCTGAACAGTTTTCTTCTCTGTAAACTAGTGCCACCCTTCCAGGCATCCTCATTACTCCCTCCCCTCCCCGTCTGGCTTCAGAACCCTTTCTCCTCTCCACTGGTCCAAAGCCTCAGTGTTTCGAAATAACAGCAAAGTCACCTGCAACCCTCAGGTGGAGTGGTTCTAAATTTCTGGTGGCCAGAGGGCACTTAGGAGCAGGGGATTCAGCCCAATAAGGCTCAAAGCAGAGCTGTGGGTGGGGCCAACGGAGGGGGTGGGAACTGAGCCCAGGCTGACTTGCCTACATTGTGAAGCCGGCTGCTCAGAGCGGAGCCATGAGCTGGACCTGCCCGCGTTGCCAGCAACCTGTTTTCTTCGGTGAGGCCTAGGCTGAGGAAGGGGAGAAGATGGGGCGAGAGAGAGCTGTTGGGTTCCTTGAGAATGCAAGGAGTTGGTGACAGTGTGCTCCCAGACCCCCTTTCTACCTGTGGGGCGCAGGGCACTTGGGCAGGGGATGGAGCTGGCCTCCGGGAGACACTCCCCACTGTCTCTAGGAATCAGGGCGGGCAGGACCGAGAGGGGAAAGGAGGGCACCTGTTGGACTGGGCCCCCACTACCCAGTTCCACCTTGTCCCCGACAGCAGAGAAGGTGAGCTCCCTGGGCAAGAACTGGCACCGCTTCTGCCTGAAATGTGAGCGCTGCCACAGCGTCCTGTCCCCAGGAGGGCATGCAGAGGTGAGGCCTGGCTAGGGTACACAGCCCTGTGTCTGTCACTGGCCCCCAGATTCCAGCCCCTCTTTTTGGCCCTGTTGGCCCACTAAAAGGAACCTCAGCAGCCAACTCCCAAGACCGCCTACCTATTGGGAGCCTGAGTTGCGCCAGTGGATCCCATGCCTTTTGGGGGTGGGAGGGAAGCAGCACTGCTTCCTGACCTGCTCTTTCCCTTTCCCCCTGACCACAGTGGCAACTCCAGCATGCCAGCCCACCCATCAGTCCTCTCACCCCCAGGCCAGTAGACAGACACACCTGATAGCCTGTCTTGGGGAAAAGCCTGTGGGGCACAAGTGAGGCCCCCTTGGGGCCTTCCCCAGTACTCTTCCCTCTGCTTGTGCCTAGCACAACGGGAGACCATATTGCCACAAGCCATGCTATGGGGCTCTCTTTGGACCCAGGGGTAAGTACCAGCCTGGAAGGGGCTGGGGACAGCAGAACCCTCCATGTGGCTGGGAGCTGGAGGTTCAAGCCTAACCTTCCCTATTCTCTCTGCAGGGGTGAACATTGGTGGTGTGGGCTCCTACCTCTACAAATCCCCAACTCCCAGCCCTGCCAACAACACCCCCCTCAGCCTCAGCAGCTTCAGCCCCCCCAGACCCAGGACTGGCCTCCCCCAGGGCAAGAAAAGTAAGTGAGATTGGATCCCAGCTACTCCTCCTCCCAGCCCTTCCCCAGGATAGAACAGGGGGTGGGACCACGTGGCAGTATCCCACCCAGTTCTCTGCTTCACATTCCTACAACTTTGTTCGTAGTAAAGTCTGGTCTTCTCTGTGGCCCCTTTTTTGATATTCCCTTATGTCAGCTGCTGAGTTAAGAGGTAAATTGGGCAAATGATATCGCCCACATTTTCAGGTGAGGAAACTGAGGTCTGGAGAGGGCAAGAGACCTTGTGCAGTCACACAGCTGGTCAGAGGCAAACCTGGCCTGGAACTCAGGCCCTTCCCAGGCTAAGGCCATGGAAGGAGTGACCTGGAGTGAGGGGTCATTGAGATGGGCCAGCCCCTCACATTCTTCTACTTCTCCCCTCTTCCATTCCTTCCTCCATCCCCTGGAGTAGGCAGTGACGCTGCTCTTTAACACCTGACACCCCTGCCCTGGCCAGCTCCTGTATCAGCTCAGGTTTCCTGAGGATTGAGTTGCTGTCAGGGTTGGGCTGGTGGGCACCTGAGCTCTTGGGAGAATGAGAAGGAAGCAGGTGGTCCTTCCTGCAGATAGGGTGGGGCAGGAGGTGGAATCAGGGGACTCAGCTCTGCCTGAGGAAGGCAGACTCATGTCCACATGGGTGGGAGGCTCAGGGATGAGTATGGCTTTTAAAAGAGGACAGTGTCATATATAGGCCAGTGCTGGTGGGCCCTGTTTAGGCCTGGCCCCCACCTCAGCCCTAGCCAGGGCCTCTTCCCCTTAAAGGCCCTCCCCACATGAAGACATTCACTGGGGAGACGTCACTGTGCCCCAGCTGTGAGGAACCCGTCTATTTTGGTAAGTGACAATGGAAAGCTAGGGGAGGGGGGTGTGCAAGGTGGGTGCGTCTCCCTGCCCTGCCCCTTGAAGTACCACCTCTCCCCTACCAGCTGAGAAGGTGATGTCTTTGGGCAGAAATTGGCACCGACCCTGTCTGAGGTGCCAGAGGTGCCGGAAGACCCTGACTGCTGGGAGTCACGCTGAGGTGAGCAGGGTGGGGGTGAGTGATCATGTTGGGGGAAGGGAAGCTGGAGATGGGAAAAGAGCCAAGCTGAGATATCTCTCTTTCTCTCTGTGTCCCAGCATGACGGCGTCCCCTACTGCCACATTCCCTGCTATGGCTACCTGTTTGGCCCCAAAGGTGGGCAGCCCCACCCCAGACACTGGGCCTAAAGTATGGCATATGGGTCTATGAGGATGTGTGGACAACTTCCCCTGTGGTCAGACACACCCCAGACCCCTCCCAACTCCTTTCAGCCCTCAACCCAGCACCCCCAAGTCCCAAGGCCCTTGGTGATGGGGCTCTCTCCTTCAGGTGTGAACATTGGTGATGTGGGCTGCTACATCTATGACCCTGTGGAGATAAAATCCAAATGAGATGCTCACAGGAGAGGTCACCCTAATTCAGGCCTCCCATCATCCCCTCCATGGTCCAGTGGGAGCTACAGAATTCTCCAGTCCTAGGGGGTGGGGAAAAGTGGGATTCTGGCAGCCTGGGCCTAGGCTCCGTGGTAGACCAGAGAATAGACTTTCTCTGCAAAATCCTCTTTCCCCTTCCTATCTGGTCAGGTCAACCCCATTTGAAGGTTGCCTCTTGGTCTTCCCGATCCTTTGACCCAGCAAATTCTGTAACTGCAAGGTACTCATAAAACTTGTGTTTATTTTGGCTTCTCCAATAAAATGTTGGCTCCCATGCCTTCAACTCTTCTTTGGACATGAGGCCTAGACAGCGGGTTGGAGGGTGGGGAGTGTAGGGGCTGGGGGATGCATTACCCTGCAAAGTGCCTGGGAGGTAGCAGAGGCAGCCATGGGAACAAAGAGCTCTTGTTCTTCTGGTCCCCTGGCTCTGGCGTTGGGCAGCCCCCAGCACCACCCCGTGGACAGCATGCCCACCAACCCTGTTGGTACCAGAAGTCATCACAGGATAGTCCTTTAGCACCACCTCTAAAAGAAGCACCTTATACAGCATTCTCATTTGAGCATGACAGCAGATAGATCCTGTGGCGAGATCTGCTAAGAGGCTTCATTAGCCGTTTGAGAGATGACCAGACAGACCCAGAGAGGGAAAGCCACATGCCCAAGGTCGCCCAAGGTCACCCAGAAATCAGTGGCAAAGCTGGATCAGAACCCAGGGCCAGATTCAGTGGCTTCCCATCCGGGGCTCATCCCACAGGTCCTCACCGTTGCCTCAACCCCTGGGGCACCTTTATTTATGGAATGCCCCCAGCCATGAGAGGGAAGCCAGAATTTTCCAGCAGCCTGCTGCATTCTGGGAAGTTGCCTTGTTGCTGGAGGCCAAATAGTTAAGGCTGGAAGAGCACAGAGAGGGGGCAGTTCTAGCCATGGGCAGGGGGCTCGATGCCCCCAACCCTGGCCACAGGGCCTACCCTTCTCTTCTCCCAGGCCCTGCTGCAGAACTTCTGTGGAGGGCTTGCCCCTGATACCACTCAATCCTGGACCTGCTTCATGGGCATCTCTTCCTCCTGAAGGCTGGACGGGGCACTGGGGAGGAAGGAGTTATGAGCAATGGTGGGGTTTAGCCCCCTAGTCTACCACCCCATCCTGCCCCATTAGTGCTGGCCTAGGGCTCCCCTCAGCTCTTAAGATAGAAACACATGTACTCCCACAAGTTACTTCCACACATGCTTCTATACATCCCTGAAGCATAGGCATACCTGAGTGTGTGTACACATCCTCTTCCTGGACACACACACAGGTGTGGACTCAATGTATACTTTTTTTTTTAATGGAGGTGCTGGAGATTGAACCCAGGACCTCATGCATGCTAAGCATGGGCTCTACCCCCCCAACACATACACTGTTATACATGCAGTTTACATACTTCAGGTACGCACCTGTGCACACCAGCATACATGCACCAGACCCATGTGCCAACATGTCTTCCTCTCTGAATCTTACCTAAGGTGTCAGCACCCAAACCCACATGCATGTGCTCACACTGACAGTCCTATGCACACACCTCTTCCTCTCCACGTCTTGGATGGTCTCTGGCAGCTGTGCCTGCTTGGTCTCTGGCAGCAGGAGGGCAGTGCAGGCAGCTAGCAGTGCGATCCCCCCATAAGTGAGCTTGGGCAGTGACAGCCATACTCCATCCAGCAAGGCTGCCAGTGGGGCCAAAGAGCCCCCCAGACGGCCCACCAGTGCAGTCAGCCCCATTCCTGTCTGTCTGTTCAGAGAAAGAGGATAGAGGAGAGGGTTGGTGCTCATACCTACATGCAGTCGTGCTTCACAGGAATTCCCTCTTGTGCTGGCTGGCTCTGGTGCCCCCTTCTCCCCAGATGGCCAAGAAAGCTGGGGCTACTTTCAGATGGTTTTCCCACCCACCCCCAGGCCAGGGCTCTCCAAGCCAGCACCCACCAGGGGATGGGGCCCTGGTTCTGATAGTACTAATCAGGCACTGCTGAAGGAAAAGAAAAGTCATCAGAAAAGGGTTGGGGAAATGGTGATCTGAAAGAGGGTCAGCAGCTCAATCAGACCCTGCCATGTTAGAGGAGACACAAGGCTTTCTAAACATGGCCACCTGCCTACCCATCTCCTCCCCACTTGTCAGTAGCTAGCTGAAAGGGCCCAGGCCTTATGTCCTGAGACAACCCCCAAGGGCAGGCTGTGGTGAGTGGGATGGGATAGAATGGATAGAAGGGGCTTTTTGTGGCTTTTCTTGTAAAGCCAATTTTCTTTTAAAGGAGGCCCAAAGAAGTTGTCTGACGCCATTCAGGGTCTTAGTAAAGATGATAAAATGCCCCGCCACCTCCCAGACCTTGGTGAACACAAACAGCTCTGATTATAACTCTGTAAGCAATGAGTGACAAGGACTGGGGTGCAGTGTGTATGTGGGGTGTTCGTAAGAGATGTGACTAACAAGCCCTCCCTCCAGGTGGCTTGCCTAGGATCCCTCACCTGAGCACGGTAGGGTACAACTCCGACGTGAACAGGTAGGCAGTGGTGAAGGCAGCTTCAGAAAAACCTTTCCCTATCACTGCCAGGGCGGTGCTCCAGGACTTCATCTCTGGAGGAAAAGGGGTTCAGACATTGAGCAGGCCTTATGGGAGAACCAGGGTTCTCCCAGGATAGGAGGTGGAGCCCCCATAGAGGGCGGGACTTAACTGGCCTTTAGTCGGGGCTTCCCGGAAAGGAGGGGGAGGGGTACGGAAGAGGGTGGATGAGAGGGTTGTTTTCTCGACCAGGAGGCGGGGCCTCCAAGAACCAACGGGGCTTCAGGGCGGGGCTCACCCGAGGACACCAGCAACCTGAAGGCCAAGGAAAGAGCGGCGCCCAGCAACGTTCCGGCCAGTGTGAGGCGACGTCCTGCGTGGCGCACCGACAGGTAGACCAGGAGCTTGGAGGGCAGCTCCACGGCCCCGAATAGCAGCTGCGTCTGGTACACGTTCAGCCCCAGCCCCGACACATCCAGGCTCAGGCCGTAATAGGAGAAGTTCACTCCAAACCTGAGGGGGCGTCGCGATGCCATTCAGTGTAGTCTCCTTCCCACCCTCTTGTCCGCTCTTCTCAGAAACCCTGGCCTTTTAGAGGGACCATCTGCCCCACCTTCAGAACCTGCTGCCCATGACCTTGCCTGTCCCCATAATCCCTTCTGAGTGTGCAGCACATACCAGTGGCTCAGGAGCCTTTACCTAATCTTCACAGCAACCCTGTGAGATGGGAACTAACAGTGACCCATTATACAGAAGGGGCACTGAGGCTCAGAGTGTTAAGTGACCTGTCCAAGGACTAACAGTAAGGAAGTGGTAGAGCCTGAATTTGAACCCACATGTGTCTGATGCCTGCTCCATCTTGGGAGTACCCCAAAGCCTCATCCCCACTAGAGACTGATCCACCCGCCATGCACAATAATAGTTCACTTGTCCTTGTCCTCTCAAACTCAGCTCCAGCCTGGAGTCTGCCCCTCCCTCCACCCACCCCCACCCCACCAGGCTCAGTCCAGCCCCTTCCTCACCACACCACCATGCAGCACAGTGAGATGTGTCGCAGCCGGGGTGTCCGGAACAGGTCTAGGTACGAAGGTCTTTGGACCACCCTCTCTGCAGCAGCTACTTTGCTCAGGGCCTGATTGGGGAGAAGGAGAGTTTGTGACATCAGAGTTGGCTGTGTAGCCTGAGCAAGGCACCTTGTTCTCCCTGGGTCTCCATTCCTCCCTTCTGTAGTAATGGGGGTCGGGATGTGTGTGGGACCTGGGTAGGGTTGGCCAGAGGCAAGGGTGTAGCCCACAAGAGCCAGCAGGACATCTTGAAGAGTTTGGAACTCTCCACTGGGGGCCAGGAGCTTTTCCTGCACACAGAGTGACCCTTGGCATAGGCCACACACACACACTCACACATACATTCACCCTCACCTCCTGGCTCAGGCCATCCTCACCCACAGGCCGCCCATTGAGCCTGGCACAGCGGAGCAGGTACCTGTGGGCCTCCTCCACACGGCCCTGGGTCAGAAGCCAGCGTGCAGACTCAGGCACCCACCTGGGGGGCAGTAGGAGGCCCTTCAGAGTCAGCACCCTAAGCCACATTCCTCCCTGGGCACACCACAGGCTGTCAGCTGCCAGGCTCTTGCTCACACAATCCCCTCAGCCTGGAATGTGTTCTCTTCCCAAGCCCTCCTCACCTGATGAACTATTCACCCTTAAAGGCACAATTTAGAAGTCACTTTTTCCCACACTTCCTCGCAGGCCTAGTCCTCCACAGCCTAGGAGTCCCCTCTCTACTCAACTAAATTGGTCTCACCTACAAAATCTCAGGCCCCAGCACCAGGCACCCACTTCTCTCACAGGTGACAGGAGGACGTAAGATGAAGGACAGACAGACATACAGGCATACCCAGAGGGGTAATTCAAAGCCAGTTCATTTTAGGGAGGCAGTGAAATGCCCACTTTGCCCGGCTTCCCACCCTTCTGCTTGGACTCCCTACCACTGTACTGGCTTTGCCGCCATCCCCTCCCCTCCAGAGCACCATCCTTTTAGTCCCTGGCTCTGTCCACCTCTGTCTCTCAGGTCACTCATGTGTTCATCTCCATCTGTCCCTCTGAATCTGCCTTCCAGTCCTATTCTCTCACTGTCTCTTACTGGTTTTGTCTCTGTCATTCCACCTCTATCACTCTATATTTTGTTATCTTTTTCTCTGCTTCTCATGCCCAGTGCCATCCTCTTTGTATTGATCTCTGTCTCTTTCTCTCTCTTGATCACTGACTGTTTCTCTTCATCTCTCAGTCTCTCTGTCTGCAAATCTCAGCCTCTGATTAATTCTATCTCTGGTTTCCTGTATCTCCCACTCCCTAGCTGCCCACAGGTCTCACCAGAGGCTGAGGATGCCTGGGGCACAAGGCAGGGTGACAGTCAGCAGAAGCCATCGCCAGTCCCGTATGAGGTACCCAACCAGTGCCAGCAGCATCACGCCCCCTGTCCAGAAGGTGCTGCTCAGGACAC